TCATTAAAAAAAAATAGTATTAACTTTGCAATACAACCAGCTACAACTTCAATACGGTATTACTGAATACCATATCGAATCGAAATTAATTTATCGAATTACAAAATCAAAATTTAAAATTTTGATATTTGATATTTATTTTTAATTATCAATTACCTAATTGCCAAATTCAAAATTAAATAATCACAAAATGAATACCGAATATCTAACCCTAGAAATACTTTTTAGTGGAATTAGGTTTAAGTAGATGTTAATTATTTTAAAAATTCTCTAGCCTATAGCCAAGTGTGACCAAAACCCAATAATTGAGGGAAAAAAGTCTTATAGATTCTAAAGAATTTGTGAGGTGGTTATTATATATAGGGATAATAATTAATAATTGCATTTAAGTTAAATAAGATGGCGGTAGACTCACTCATCAAATATATATGCTTTCCGCTCAAAACAATCGATCGCTGTCTAACTGAACTAGTGAAAATTTTATATAGAAACATACGAAAGAATCACATTTTTCGAACATGAAGTAATGTTGTCTTTCGATTCTATATTCTTTAAAGAACGAAGGGGTTGGGTTGGAAAGAAGATAGAGCTAATACGTCTTGTACAACACATGTACGACATAATCAGGTCCGTGACACAATAAATTTTTCTCTATTTATAGATAAAAAAGACCCCAAAATAAATATAGAATATTTTGAAGAATTTATTTTCCTCAAAATTAGCTTAAACTGATAGGAAAAAAGGAACACCAACCAGATTGATTTGGTAAGCCATTTGTCAACCAATAAGTAATTAGGTAGCTAGACTACTTTAAATAATGAATTGGTCAATAATCATACAATATTAAAATAATATTGATTTTTAATCAATTACTAAGTCTAAGATATTCAAATATTTTGGCCCCATATTACCTTAAAGGTTTTAAATTTAGGAATTAAGTTTGATGTATTCTTAATTAAGAATGAAAGAAGTCTATATATGTTGGGTACAACAAAATTTGCTTTCACTACAAAAATGATAGTAACAATTAGGCATTGCCAATAATAATAATCAATTGTCAAGCTTTAATTGACCTTAATTAGAAAGAGTGGTTATTTTTAATCTTCAAAAAGACTAATTAATCAAAACTAAACCACTATTAATAAGTCAACCTCACTAGATAGTAGTATTAGTTTTACCAAACTAGCTAATTAGGTCAATTAAAATGATGGGGAATATAGTAACAACGAGAAGTTACGAACACACAAGAAAAAACATCAAATAATTTCTTTTCAAATTTTGAAATCTTGACAAATAATAAAGTTCCTAAGTATTTGTATTGATAGCAGATACTAGTGAAACTAATCGAGATGGAACAAGTTGATAAAACATTATGATTTTAAAAAAGGTTTTGTATTGTGTAAGTATTTGGTCTTCATAATCGAAGGTGGGTAATAAAGTTATTTAGAATTTGTATTAATAGCAGATACTTGTGAAACTAATTGAGATGGAACAAGTTGATTGAACACTATTAAAAAAAAGGTTTTGTATTGTGTGTAAACATTTAGTCTTCGAAATCGAAGGTGGAAGCAACGTACACTAAATTTATTTTAACTCAATACTTTGAATATAAATTTTAAATTTATGTATAAAACTCCACCAAAAATACATTAAATACTATGTTTGAACTTAATATTTCAAAATTATAATTATTTAAATTTTCAACTACTAATAACCTTAACAATCGAACCTATTAAATTTAAATATTAGATTTCTTTCTATCTGCGGCCAAGTCCTAATAATTAAAATTTGCACCACATATGATTTATTTTTTTAAAAAAAACACTTTTAATTAAAGATTTTTTCATTTTCCAAACTCAAAAAAATTGTGATATTTATTTTTTATTTCTACCACTTGATGAAGCCTAAGAATTGGAGAGAATATCTTATTGAAAAAGTAATAATCATTGTGGGCTAATTATTTTTACATAAAAAGGAAGAAAAATATCAATAAGTGGCTAACAAATCTATAAAAAAAAGTCATAAAACTTAGAAGGGAAAAAAAAAAGGAAATTTATTACGGAAATTACAAATTAATTATTTTTTTAATAAAAAATTTCAAAATTCAATTTAAAAATAAAAAAAAAATATTGGAAAAAAATATTTCTTTTCCAAATTGAGCCATAACAGACGAATAATAAAATGAAAAAATAAATTTATTAGTATCCAATTTTAACAAAAATTCTTAAGAAGATTTCGAGAAGAAGTTTATATAGAGTAATAATAAATACGTAAGCAATGACAAAGAATTGAATTTTCAACTTCTTTTCATTTTAGAAATTTTTTTTTTTGACAAGATTTTGGAATTATTAACCATGTAGGGGATTTGAGTACAGTATGATTTTAAAAATTTATGTTTGAATTTTCGTTTTTACACATAATAAGTCGATAATTAATTTTATTGGGATAATGCACAAGTATCCCCTCAACCTATGCCCGAAATTTCAGGGACACACTTATACTATAATAAGGTCCTATTACCCCTGAACTTATTTTATAAGTAATTTTTTATCCCTTTTTTTTTTGCCTACGTGGCACTAGTTTGAAAAAAAAAGTCAACCATCGTTGGACCCACAAGATAGTGCCANGTAGGCNGAAAAGGGGTAAAAAATTATTAATAAAATAATTTCAGGGGTAATAGGACCTTAGTATAGTATAAGTGCGTCTCTGAAATTTCGGGCATAGATTGAGGGGGACATTATCCTAATTTTATTTGATTTCATATTTCATAAAGTTAAAAGTTATGTATACTCGAAAGAAATGATAATTATCTAAATATGATATTCAACATTTCAATTTATTTTTTAATAATATTGAACACTAATTTTGTTTTAATAAACATATAGCAAATATCGAAATATCAAAATTGAAGCGTTAAAATTAAAATATAATAATTTAATATTTGTCATACCGTCACCCTGTGCCTAGTCAATAAGGTTTTTGTTTTTATTTTTGATGTTAAGAAGTGTAAGTACTAATTAGGCAGAATTAATTTATATTTTTAGCAACTATTTTCTATGTTTTGGTATGCTATCATTGTCTTTGTTGACTAATAAGTAAATATTATTACAAATGAGGAAAAAATAGTGTGTGAGAAAATTAAAAAGTTAAAATAAATGGAGTAGCTAGGTTTGATTTAATTGTGCTCTATAGCAAATGTTTGTAAAAAATTGTCAGGCGATTCTCTCTCAAATATCTCGCTCGCCACTTTCCTCCAATCTCTCGCTCGCTTCCTCAATTTTTATACAAACACAAGCGTATAACAATTGTTTCTAATTATATAAAGTAGAGAAAATTGTATAAATACATATATTTTTGTTCTCCTCTCTCTCCTCTTCCAGATCTCGCTCGCCACTCTCCCAAATTTCGCTTGCCAGCCTCACCTTTCTCACTTATACAAACAAAAGCAAAATGTATAAATTGCGTTTCTGTTTGTATACAGCGTGAGAAAATTGTGTGTGTGTATATATATATATATATGCAAGTATATATATTTTCGTCCTATACACTTATAATTATACAATAAAAATACTCCCTTGCCCAGTTTCTTTTGCCTTTCTCTCTTTCTCGTTTTATATAATTTTTAAATTGTATCTAATTTCTCTCTTTCTCGTTTTATACAATTGGATTCTATTGTATATTCCTTGTCAAGTCTCTTTTGTCTTTCTCTCTTTCTCATTTTATACAAATTCAAATTGTATATAATCGTTCTATACACTTCTAATAATACAATTCGTTTTATACACTTCGTCTTTATACAGTTTTCTGCCCAAGTGTCTTTCTCTTTCTTGTTTTATACACTTCCTTTTATATAATTTGCTTCAACTGTATATGTATAGCGAATTATACAGTTTCTATGTTTACTATGAAATGCAATTATACAAACTTTGTTATAGTATACAAATATGAATTTTTTATTTGTTATATGTAAAAGTTGCCCTTTAAAAAATACGAGCTAGGAAAATATTCTATCTCTACTTTTTAATGTTTTTTAAATTTAAAAAAAAAGAAGAGAAACTAATATTATAAATTAAAATGTTCTAAGAAAACAAGAAACAAAAAAGTCAAAGAATGCCCAAAAAATTCTATAAAAGGTTGGTCAAATTGCAATTTGGAAAAACAACAAAATTTGTAAAGTATAAAAAACATGATAAAGTTGAGAATTAAGATGTACAGAAATAAGGACAAGAATAAAATATTTATACATTTAGTTTAGGATTAATAGTCAGAAATTATATTTAAAATATCTTATTTTAATAAGTTTCGTATCAAAATTATCAGATGTACAAAAATTTTGTTTGAAGTGTAATCAATTGTTTAATGTTTATCGAGACACACCTTGGCAATTAGTTATTCTCTTTTTTATTTTCATATCACATTTTCAATTAGGAAAAAAAGAACAATTAATAATTGAGATTTGTTTCAAAAAATGTTTAATGATAAATGAGTTAGAAATTCGTCCATTTTATAATTTAGATATGAAACTCGAAAAATTAAAATATTTTAGGTTTGTCTTTGACCCTTTACTCTTTTTAGTTTGAATACGGATGACAAAATTCATGTCAACCTCATTTTAGTAGCTAAACAAATTTTGATTCGCCCCGTTTTAAATCATTTAAAAATTATTGATTTATGAGCAACTTCGTTAGAATATTTCTTTTTAAAATATATTCTTAGTTGATACTATGTTATTTATAATTGAGACAAAAATAAATTTCTTTTTAAAATACTTAATCAGTCAAAAATACAGTAATAATTGAACGAGTCAAATTATGACAGACTTATTAAGCATATTTCGATTCAATCTATAGATGAACATAAGTACAAGAAAATCGAAAAATCAAACTAATTCAATTTTTTTATTTTGATTTTGAAAATTCAATTCTTTAATTCGATGTCGTAACATTTTTATTAAATAAAATTATAATTTTGGCTAAATAAAACCCAAAATCCAAGCCCATTTCAGATTTATGCTTAACCCAATCCCAATTTTGTATTTGGTGCCCTAAATCAAAATTCAAAAAAATTCTATTCATCGGTTCACTTTTTTCACCCTCACCGCGCAGCTACCGTCGGCGACCAACAGAACAGCGGCGCAGCCACCGTCGGCGACCATCAGGGCAGCGGCGTAGAAACCGTCGGCAACCAGAAGGGCAGCGGTGCGTGTATTTCTCATTCTAACTCGTCTCTCAGTCCCTCTTCTCAGTATGTTTTAACTTAGTTTACAGAAGCACCTGGTTTATTCTTGAATTTATACTCTATTTTCGAGAAATTTTGTCACATGAGAATTTGATTGTCTGCCATGGAAGCTGGACTAATAGTTGTTATTCAGATAGAAAGTGCCTTATTCAATTCTTAAGTTAATCTGTAGGAGTTTTTGGTTAGGAGTTCAAGTGATTTGAACATTAGACATAGACTGTGATTATGCGATTATTAAGTCTTATAAAATTTAAACCACTTTTGATAGTGGGCTCGAGGAGAGGCGGAGGTAGGCTGAATAAGTATTGGGGAGAGGTGATTAGGCACGATATGTTGTATTGTAGCTTATCTAGGATTCAGTTTGAATGCTACATGATGAGCATAAATCACATGACGTGACGGGAAGACTATTTGAGCTTAGATAGGAGGGTATAGAGGCTGTGGATAAGGCTTGAAGGTTAGTGTTTAGTTGAGGGGTGTTCTTATTACTAGCCTATTCATGTCTTTGGCTGAGTGGAGCTCCGTGTTAGTCCTAGTGTCAGCATATTCATGTAGTCTTTGGTTTTGGATTTCTAATTATCATATGTGATTTAATGCATTTTCGCTTAGATGACTACACCTTGTTGTTAATGTCATGGTTTCTTGCATATATGTTCCACACTACTTTGCTATTTGTTGTCACGTTTTTCTCTTAATTACTGGTTTGATTTGCTTGAGTTGAGGGTCTTTTGGAAACAACCTCTTTACCTCGGAGAGGTAGTCGTAAGGTCTATCTACACTCTACTCTCTTCAGACCCCATTTTGTGGGGTTTCACTTGGTTTATTGCTGTTGTGGGTCAAAGGTCTATTAACTCCAAAGATTTTCAAATTTTGAGTTATCTAATGTGCTTTTCTGTGTAAACCTTTGGTGTAGGAGCTGTTTTGGCTGCCATTTTCAAGTGCTCTTATTGAATATATACCATCATTATGGATGCTCCGAATGAACTGAGCTACAAACCACCATCAGAATTTGAGGAGGTCAAAAAGGATTCACTTGTCAATCTTAACATTTCAGACTCAACTGAGCTCTGGCTTATACAGTGGCCCTTTAATCAAGTAAGATTCGTGAGAATTTTTTGTTCTTCCATTTTAGGATGTAAGAAGCTGCATTTTTTTTCCCAATCAGGTCGAAAATATCCTTCCAACAAATGAATAGATTTCCTGTCTCTATTTCCTTTTCTGGGACAAGCCATGTAAAATTTTCCATCCTTTCCTAGTTTCTAAACAAAAAGAGTTTATTTATGAGATTTACTATGATTTCGAATGGAATGAGAATGATTCTTAATGTTGGGTGTGCACTTGAGGAGTTGAGGTTGTTAATATATTTTTCAGTCCTTGTCACTTACATCGGTTCTGAGTTTTGACATTTCCAATTGGCTACTCCAGCATCCAGGTCTTGATGGGCAAGAAGTTTCATTGAAGCTCCATCATGATGGGCATATCGGCAGTTTTGAGGATTCATCTGGCAAGTTTAGTCATAAGAATAACATTTATATATTTACCAGTTTCCAAAAAAAAGAAAAAAGAACAACATTTACATCTAATTGAGTTTGTCTCTTCCACCTCAGCACCTCTAATTTTCATAGCAGGCATTTTAAGATAATGAAAGATTCTTTTAATTTCTTAACGTCTTGCTCAACGATTGCTTTTGTAACAGGTAAATCATATGAGGTGGTCAGTTGTAGAGCGCAGGACCCCGATGCGTTGGTCTTTCTATCATCTGATTCTGAGCCAAAAATTGGTAACTCTTAGTTCCTTTGCATTTTACTGTACACTTGTCTGCTTATTCACTCATGATCTCGACACTCAAAACGTGCAATACTGCAATATCCTTTTGGGTATGTCATTTTTATCTCATATTTTGTGATGTTGGTGTCAAGTCAAAGCTATTCTGTTGACAGTTGAGACGTCGTGCTTCATAATTTTGTTGTACCAACCATTATGTTGTGTACCCACGCACTGTTGTAACATGTGTACTGAAGCTAATGTGACTCAATATCTTTGATGATTTCAATTTAATCTACTATGTCCACATATGACATGCTCGTTTTGTTTGCATATTGAAATTTTATTGCTCTCTCTTAGTTGAGCGGAACTTGCACATAATCCAACTACTAATGCTCTTCTGTTTATATTTTTGGTAGAACTTATTGTTATTCCTTGTGAACCTCTATATGATCCAAATGCTGCTAATTTTCCGTTCAAGCACAAAATTAAGGCGTTTGAGCAGAGTTTTGCATGTTTTGGCAGCTGGCAAAATTTCGCGGCGTGTTTCCCTTGTCCATTATCCGGAACCAAGTGAGCTTAAACAGAACAGCATAAACTTGAAGCAGATGATGGCTCAGAGATCGTCTGGTACTACATTGACCAATTCATCTCGTCGCTTTGCAACTCCTAGTCAAAGTACTAGGACACGGAGTATTATGCGATCGGAGAGTTCATCCAAATCTACCAAGAGAAAACACAGTGATGGCGGCCCTGCAAAATCCAATAACCAATCTGTTCAAGATTCAGGCAAAAGTGGTCGTAGTGCATTAACCTCTTCAGGATCCTTCGATCACTCTCAAGATCAAAAATCAAAGAAGAAGCGGAAAATTGATGGTTGAAGTGCTTCCTCTTAAGTGTTCTGAATCGAATTCTTTTTGGTTAAAGAATCTCTTTCTAGTTGCGCTAGTACAAATTGAGCGCTTTAACCATTCAGCCATGAACTCGAACACGTCCTTATTTTCTCTCTTATATTACTTCTAGAACAAGTGTGTGAGGTTTTTGCGCCATAGCTTGTGTGCCTTGTTAATCCCCCCAATGATGGGACCAATATTTAATCTAAGTATCAAATGTTATATACCTTTGTTTTAAAATTGTTTTAATATATGTATTAGTTGTACTCTTTATTCAGTATTAGGGTGTATATACACATATCAAATTACGATATTAGTTATACGTGGATAAAGATAGAAAATAGTCTCATCCAAACTAATACTCTTTTTTCTTTACTTTCCATCTGGTGTCTGGTACTCATTAAATTCAAATTCGCGTCAGAAAGTTTCACATTAGAGGGTAAAGCATTGTCTGGTACTCACTAAATCCGAATTTGCGTCGAAAAGTTTAACATTAGAGGGTAAAACATTGCCTAACATAGGCGGCTTTATACCAACAACCCTGATTTGCATTGGGAAGTTCCGCATTGGAGGGTAAAGCGAACCAAAGACGACTCTGTACCCAAGGAGGCTCGAACTCAAGACCTCTTGAATAAGGATGAATGAGTACTTATCACTCTACCACAACTCTTGTTAGCAGCCTAACTAAGCTAATGCTTCTTCCATCATTCATTAATTACCATCAAGAGCGGTAACGAGGTGAATGCGATTCCTTCATCTCTAATCAGATATATCAGATTCAAACTCAACACATAAAACAATTTAAGAAGTACCATTCCTTTAATGACTTTTTTGGCATAAATTCAAATCAATGGAGCTATCTCAACACAAATATCAAATGTAAAACTTTAAAAAATATAACAAGATAATTGACTTGGACTCAAATTAGTCCATCACACCAATGTAAAAAAGAAAACAAAAATGATATAAGTACTACTATAGAAGCAAAGGTTAAAGGTATATAATAACTAATCGATCTGATTTATGATAGGGTGATTGAGATTCATTCATTTTAATTTAAAATAACATATTCAAATTCTAAATATAAAATAAATTAATTATATCGCCCTCCAAAATAAGCCGTAAAATATGTAAATTTATCTTAATTGAATTTAAATATAAACACCAAACTATGGAAAAAAGTAATAAACAAAAATTGTGCACACCACCTTGGACTTCTTTTCTGTCATTATTTATTCATATATCATGTAGTAAAGCCGTCACACAAAGTTGATAAAACCCCAAATTCCAAGAACATGCTTACTTTGAAAAAGAAATATGTCGACGTCCAACTAATTTTGATTCGCGTTATGTATATGATAAATTTAAGATAAATATTTTTTTAATCAAAGTTTCTTTACTTTCAAAGAGCTCGAATTGTAGATATATGATTACATATCAATTGATTGTTAAAGTGTACTACGCCTGTTTATATTTTCATGTAACGAAATTTCACTTGTCGTTTAACTTCTTTAAGTAGATTTTTGAAACCTGACTATAAGATGAATTTTATATTTACATGTTAAATGTGCTATAAAATATGTGTGACGATAAAACTTCTTCATAAAAAAAAAGAAGATGAAACGTTCAAAATTAAAATATTTATTATATAAATCAAATATATTATTCTCTTAAAAGTAATATATGGAATAAAACGAAATAAAAAAAGCAATACTTTTTAGAATAAAGTTCTGATTTTGCTACTATTTGCTTATACACGTTTGGTGGAAGTGTGGACAGTGCTTTATTGGGAAAAAAGAAAAAAAGAATATACTATTGTTTAAGTTATAAATTCGTGTCTGATAATCGTATTGAAAATAAAGATCTCAATAAAGTTTTATTTATAAGGGTTAAAATTTGAGACTTCTTATTAATATTAAAGAGATTCAAATCATGTCAGCATAGTCAAGCTCAAGTGAATTTAAGTTAGGAGAAAATTTATTCGCATCGATTGTATATATTAAACTAATATAATTTTTATTATTACGTGATTTAATAAAATAAAACAAATAGTATTTAATTAAAAATAAATAAAATGAACTGTAAATTTAAACGTATACAATATATACACTCGATATAATAAATTTTACCTTAACTAAGTTAATCATTATATTATATATAGTATATTGTATAACAAAAGGCTTAATTTGTTACGATTATAACTAATAACAACTTATATTATTTCAAATACGCCAAATCGTTCTACTTTTATATCTGTCAAATCATAAATTATTACAAGTAAAATTTACTTTATTTTAATGTGATCGATTAGGTTTTTCATTTATTTTAGACTTTTATTTAAGATCCTGATTATAGATTTTTAAAATTATATATTGAAATTTGAAAATATAATTTTTGTGGTTGTGTTTGAATATACTACTTGAAAAATAATTGAAGTTTTTGTGAGTGAAAGTGCCGATAAATATTTGAATATTCTAATTTTAGAATATGATCAAATTTCAAAATCTAGTCAAATTTCACAGTCAAACAATTATTTAGAGATAGATTTTTTTTTAAAAAAAGTCTAGTCAAATTTCACAGTTAACAAATACTAGCAAACCGAGTTTACAAAAATTGGTCAAATTTAATGATCGAACATATATTTGAAAATCAAATTTCAAAATCTAGACAACAAATATTTAAAGAAAGATGTTTTCAAAATCAAGTCAAATTTCATGGTCAACATATACTTGAAGATCGTTTTCTAAAAAATGGTTAAAATTTAATGGTCAAACAAATATTTGAAGAAAGATATTCAAAACCTTAGCAAATCTAATGGTCAAAACATATATTTGAAGATGAAATTTCGAAATCTTGTCGAATTTTATGATCAGACATATATTTGAAGATAGATTTTTAAAATTTGGTAAAATTTCATAATCAAACAGATATTTGAAGATAAATTTTCAAAATCTAATAAGAAATCTATAAATCAAAATCTAATATATAAGAATCTATGACCAAATGCTAGCTTACGGATAAAAATACTTCATTTTCACTTGGAACAAACAAAAGGTGGGCCTAGTGTTTGAAGTCCATGCTAGCTAACTTGTTGGACTGGGCTAGGCCCACTAAAAAAGCCCAGAATAACTTTGTCCTGCTTTGGCCCAAATTCACTTCTGTTCCAATCCTTTATTAACATATTTGTAATTTTTTTTTAAAAAAAAATTGATATGGTATATATTATCATAATAAAGGAAAAGAAGTTTTATTAGATAATAAGAAAACAAACAAAAAAATTTAGCATCCGTCAAGCCATAAATTTTGAAGTTGATACTTGAAATTTTAATTTTTAAGTTGTGTTTGGGTACGCATTTTACTTGATTTTAAAAAAAAGTTCTGTGAGTAGAAATACTAAAAATAAAATAAAAATCCCTAAAAAATAAGAAAATCTAAGCCAATTTTTTTTTATAGTTTGAAAATATTAAAGACCAAAATTTTAAAATCTGATCAAGTTTGATAGTCAAACAAATATTTTGAACATAATTTTGTTTAAAATTTGATTCAAAGTCTATGATCAAACGCTAGACAAGAGTTGATAAAAGTTGGGAGCGTTGACTTTTGACCCACTAAAATAGCTCATATCAACCCAAGTAAACCTTCGAGCGAGTTAATTAAAGATAAATTTTCAACTGATTCAAAATCTATAATCAAACGCTAGCTTAGAGTTTTTAAAAAGTTAGGAGCACTAACCTTTTGATCCGTTACTTAGCTCATCTCAATTCATATAACCTTTGAACGATTACTTAAAAATAAAATTTCAAATCCAATCCAAAATCTATGGTCGAACATTGAGAGGGTTGACCTTTGACTCGTTACTTAGCTAATCTTAATCTAAATAACCTTTCATATATCAATTTCGATATGTTCAAATTTAATTTCGTTTATTAGACTCCACTAATTTTCAAAAAGATTTTAAATATGATATCCAAATGAAGGTCCATTAATTTTTGGGAGTGTAGTGTTGATTATAAATGACAATTTTTTTAACTAACCAACATTCTTGATAATTGACAACTTTTTTGTCTCTTCTCATAAGCATTAATCTACTTGTCCCTATGCTTCGAAGAATGTTGACATTTATAATGTCAAGGCAAATCTCATTTACTACTAAAGTCACCTATAAAGTATAGGCTATAAATAAATAAAGATATTAATTTAAAAGAATTATGTAATAAATATATAAATGTTTACTTTGGATATATATTTAGTTGACCGTTAAAAGGACGATAATTAAAAAGAAAAAGAAAAATTTATGAAGATATTCTATGTTTGTTGGGATGGATTTGGTTATAAAATAAAGTTATGTCCTTGTTAATAAATATATTATTTTTAGTATAGTAATAAACGTTTAATTCTAATAAATAAAATTAAAATTTAATTTTTCATGAACAATATATTGCGTAACAAATAAAATGGAGTATATTAAAACATATGAAATATATTAGGTGATGTAGGTCGTTTAGTCAAACGAAATCTAATGATAACATTCATTCACCAACAAATCAGCTTCATCACCTTTGTTAATCTTTCCTCCTTTATCCTCCTCCTCACCCAATTTCTTGAATTTTTGCGGTGAGCTTATCTGATTCAAGAATTTCAACGGGCTAGTGCTACGAGCATCAATATCGCCAAATCTCAAAGGTTTCCATAATAACATTTTCATCCTTCGATTATTAATGGTAACATAATCATATTTCTAATAAATTAATAATATATTTGCATGTTTTTTCCCCCCGAGAAATATGCAAGTGGTGTTATCAAAGATCACACCAATCTCATAAATACACATCACGACTCACGATAATAACGTTTTCATCCCCTGATTATTAACGGTAACATAATTAAATTTCTGATAGAATATATTTTTTTTTAGAAATAACATTTTCACCCTCCGATTATTAACGGTAACATAATCATATTTCTAATAGATCAATAACATATTTGCGTATTTTTTTTTCTCGAAAAATATGAAAGTGGTGTTTTTAAAGACCATACCAATCTCATAAAATCATGTCTCGACTCACGATAATAACATTTTCATCCCCTAATTATTAACGGTAACATAATTATATTTCTGATAGTTCAATAACTTTTTTTTTCCCGAGAAATATGAAAGTGGTGTTTTTAATGAATATTAGGCAAAATTGAAGGACTTGTTACAAAAAATTTACCCCAACATGTTTTCATTCGAAATTTTCGACCGTTTGGGCCCGTTATAAGGACAGTCATAACCGT